CGGTATCGGTATCGGTATCGGTATCGGTATCGGTATCGGTATCGGCGAGTACCCAAACTGAAGTACTCGTACTTGTACTCAGTCTTGAAAAAACTGGTATCGGGACACCCCTAATCAAGACCTCCGCCAATCACGAGTAGGGCCGTCTCCGCCCACATCAGGACCACGGCCAATCAGGAGTAGAGCCGTCTCCGCCCACATCAAGACCTCCGCCAATCAGGAGTAGGGCCGTCTCCGCCCACATCAAGACCTCCACCAATCACGAGTAGGGCCATTTCCGCCCACAAGACAACATGTTCTGTTTCTGCAGAAACCCACTTCCCGAAAAAAAAAATTCTCTCTCTACCTTCACAAACCAGGAGTGGTACAGTCGGTCCCAAAGCTCCAGGACCTGCTTCTCGATCACTGCCGTGTTGTTCACTTTATCTCCTAACATCTTATGAAGCTGCACACAAACRCAACAGAAAAACAAAATGTAAAAAAAAATGTTGCATTTTTTTTGCTTTCAGGAAAAAAAAAAGTTTGTTCTAAATGGCATGAAAGAGACGTCCAACCTTCTGCGTTATCCACTCTCTCCCGTGCTGATAAACATTAGTAGCAGCTGAATTCAGAGCTTTCTGCACAACACGAGCTTCTGGAAGCCAACTAAAAAGCRAAACAAAAACAGATCTATCTACATATTCACAGAAAAATAAAACAGCTGATCGTTCAACCAAAAATAAAAAATATCCCACTTGGCCCATTCTGGATGGTTRGACAGAGTCTCGTTGATGAGGTTACTGGTGACCTCGACGATGTGAGCGCTTTCATGATGAACCTTAAAAAAGACAAGGAAAAAAATAATAATTTTTTTGTATCTGGGCTGATATTACTGTGAAATAAATCTAAAATAACTCACCATAGCAGTGAGCAGAAGAGCCATAAGTAGAGTCCCCGTCACCAGGAGGAAGATGATGAAGATGCTGATGATTTTATCCAGCGATCGCTCCAACCACACGATCATCTGCGTACAGTGAGAGAGGACGAAGAAAACAAAGAAAAGGGGGATTTAGTTAAAACACTGAAGGAGCTAGAATCATAGAATGCATAGAGAAACCTGTGTCCTTCCCACGTTAACGCTTTTATTTAGTTAATTAAAAAATTTAAACCCACAAAGACTAAAGCTTGGAAAAGAAATTGATTTAACCACATTTGATCACTTTTGTTATACCTGCAAAACTCCTAAAGATCACACTTTAAATCTGGATTAAGCAGTCTGAAAATATTAGTCTGATAGTGACTGTATTATCAGACTGAGAGGAGGCACTGACACCAGACATCTGCTCTCAACAAAACGAGGTCAAATCTGCTTCTTTAAAAACATACTAAACACTGATACTATTTTTAAACTTGGCAAATATCAAATTGTTTCGCAAACTAAAAAAAACATTCTTTCTTGGGGGTTTTCCTCTCTGCAGTTTCCTACATGTAACATAATACATGTAACAGTGATGTCAGTTGAATTTATTTCCAGCCAATCCAAACCATTCTTCTGTAAGATGTTGGGGATTTTCACTCAGGTTTCTCAATGCTTGATTCACAAAGTTCTTCTTCTTTGTTGTTTAGCCTCGTGTTAACGTCACAGAAGCATCAGAGTTACTGGAGTCCACGGGGACAGACTGGAACAAGTTAGAAGATGGTTCTTGGTGTCGATGTTACATGGAGGGTGACATTAATCACTTCATTAGATTATGCTCGTTTAGATGAGTGGGTTTGGTTTTCTTTTACCAAGAACCATAATGTGGCCTTACTTTAATGGATGACATTTATATTAGAACAAAACCCCAAAAGTAGATAAACAAAAAAATGGAAACATCACAGGTGAATAAAACTCAGTTTGAGTTGAGTCACTGGAAACATTTATTTAGTGCTCTAATTTAGAAGTCTAGTTTCTCGTTTATTGTGTGAATTTACAAGCAAAGTAATTGAAAGCGTCTACAGAGGCTGAGCTGACTGATTAAATGAAAATCCAAAAACACACAGCAGCTCAAMTTAAACTCTTTCAGGAGTTTAGTCAACTGAATCAGGAGAAAATGGGTTCAGCTTCAGTCGAGGTTTTACTTCTGCAAACCAGTAACGTTTACAGAGACAGAAACACATWTAACTTATTCAATTTTAACCAACAGGGCTTGTAGTTTTGAGAAAGAAAAACTGTATTAATTGAYTAATTAATAACTCCAATGCCAACTGGTCAATTAATAAAGTTGTTTTCTTTCAACACAAAGTGTTGTTAAAGCTTTAACCTGTCATGCACCTTGGAAGGAATCGATTTATGCTCAACAAAACTAAAAACTTCTGATTGGACACGTCACGTTCACAAATGGTCCGACTCTTTTGTATCGGCTCTTTGAAATGAACTGATCCTCAACATCTGGTTGCCTTATATCCCATATATCCCAGCTCTACTTCTGATTAACACAAAAAAAATTGGTTTCAGTAAATAGGTAGAAAAATTAAAATAAACTTTTGTTTCAGTGTCCAAATAGAAACAATTCAGTTTTAAGAAATAGCACACTGGCTAAAAAAACTATATTAATCAATTTAAATACTGAAGTTAATTTATTGATTAAAATCTGTAGCTTCTTGACAAAATGTTTGTCTTCCTTAAAAACAAGAAGTCAGGGTGGAAATGATCCTTTGGCACAGTGGTTCCCAAACATTTTGTCTTCTGACCCACAAAATATCCACGGCAAAAACTTGTGACCCCAAATATTACTGGTCTGAGTACATGAACTTCATTAATAACAATAAAAACACAGGCTTTTTGACAATCTAAACAGCTTATACACAAATATAAATACTTATTTTTACTTATTTTGTGTTTTTGTAATAATTATAGGCAAATATTAGATCAGCAATTTTTTTTATTATCCTTTAAATTGATTTCTGGAGATTATCCAAGGTGCTTCATGACCCATAATTGGGTCCCGAGTCCAACTTTGGGAACCAAAGTGCAGTGGTTCCCAAACTTTTCAGCTTTTGACCCACAAAATAATAGCAGAGACCTGTGGCCCCAACTATTTTTGGATGATAAACATTTGTATCAGGTCTACTAAACATGGGCATAGTAACAATATTTTTATACTACATTTATCCATTTTAAATACACTAACCTCACTCCTTTGTAACAGCTAAGGCAAAAATGTAATTAATTCAGAAAATCTTTTCAGGACCCCACCTTGATGTTTCGGGACCCCACTTTGGGTCCCGACCCCAACTTTGGGAAACACTGCTTTAGCACATGGTTCAGGTGTTCTTTCTGCTTTTAACATGATTTATTGTGTTTCCATTGTTTTGTTTACACCCAGTCTGGAACAATAAATAAATAAATAAATAAATAAATAAATAAATATGGTTCAAAACATAATTTAAAAAACTTTGATATTTTATAAGCCAACAAATTCAGTTCCATTTTCCATCTCTCCATGCAGCTCACACACTTTCAGGACAAATCTGTCAGCTAAGGTCTAAGCAGCGAAGATACAGACGGGGTGGGGTGGGGGACAAAGACCCCCCTCCCAGCTGCAGCTTCCTGTGAAGTCAAAGCAAGGAAAGAAAGCAGCAACAAAACAGACCAGATGAGTCGGAGATGACAGTGAATGGGGAAGACAGAAAGGGAAAAAAAAGCCAGTCCAAGCAGCTACCAGGTGTCCTCACGTCTCCTCACACACACACACACACACACACACACACACACACACACACACACACACACACACACACACACACACACACACGTGTTATTTCTTTAACTTCGTTTACTGTTTTCTCTCAAACAAACACTCATTACCTGCTTGTTAAGCCAATGCCAGAGCTTGGGGGGAGGGGAGAGACAGAAAGACATCGGGAAGATTGTTATTGGACAGATCTGAGCATCAGYCGTCACATTGTACCCTTGAAATGAGAAGACAGCAGTCTGTTTGGGTTCGAGCAGCGAGTGGTCCGACTGTAGGGGGGAGCTGGCTTCAGAGTGGGGTGTCAAAATGGACAATCGCAAAAAAAAAAATCGATCTCACTTCAGAAAAACGTTGCTTTGTGTGAGACACCTTTCACGTCACAGTTTGCCTTTTTTTAGTAAAGAAACCTCCATTAATGCCAGCAATGAGCAAGAAATCCATTCGTCGCAAAATAATTTCAAAGGAGGTTAACCTCTGTAGCATGAGAACCTCGTGACATTTAGCTAGAGGAGCATCTTTGTTTTTCCAACGCCTTCTTTCAGCTGGCAACGCCTCAGCACGCTGTGTCTAACCTTGGATTTGCTAAAAGTTTTTTCTTACACTACATAAATTTTATAAGCAGTGTGTGAGTGGCCAAACTTATTTTATAAACCCAGAGGAAGCAACAAGAATAAATTGAGCTGACTTAAACAGAGGTGAGTAGCGATGTTGCAGCTTCAGTAGTTGTTGTGTTTTCATAAACTCCGCTTCCGGTCGGTCAGTAACTTTACGTAAATTTCGTAAAWTTCATAAGTGGAGTGAGGATGACCACAGTTATTTTTCTGGTCAGAGGAAGACACAAAGAATAAAYTGAGTTGGCTTAAAATAGAGSTGAGTAATTATGACGCAGCTTCAATAATTGTGTTGTTTTCACAAACTCCATTCTAGTGTGTCAATAACCTTGTGCAAATTTCGTAAATTTCATAAGCAGAGTGAGGATGACCACGGTTRTTTTATGAAGTCAGAGGAAGACACATACAGAATAAACTGTGCCGTCTTGGATAGAAGAAGTGGGAATTGATTTTACAGTGTGTTGTCACAATCTCTGGTCCACGTAAGTTTGTAACTTTTTATTTTACATATGTAAATTTCATAAACTTCCATAAGCTTCTTAAGCAGTGGGATCTCATTAAGTTAGCTTAAAATGGTTTCTAAATAATATTATGGTTTACTGCGATAATTTAAGACATCCAGTAAAATTGGTTATCGTGACAGGCCTACTTATGTACATCGTGTCGCAGGGTCTTTAGCATGGACAGAAACAAATACCCACTGAGAAGGCTCTAAAGATGAGGCAGAGCGGATTCACCTGCATATCAAGGCGTTACCTTAGTGTCGATACGCAGCACGAACTGAGCCAGCCCTTTGATTGGTCCAGGCAACAGGGCCTCTTCACGCTCGCGTCCAAACTTCTCCAGCACCGTCCACCAGGAGCTGAGGGTCCGCTGCGCGAAGCTCTTCAAGCCGAAGTGGACCACCAGCTTCTTCAGCACCCACACTGAGTCATGGAGGCGACAAACRCAAGATTATAGCAGCTCTTACTCATGAAATAAAGCAAACGGACCGTGAGAGTTTCTGCGTTACCGGCCACGGGGATGGGCAGCAGCTGCAGGATCCAGAGGTTGAGCCACACCTGAACGAGCACGATGGCCCAGACCAGCATGATGAAGTAGATGTCGCTGGCTTTACGACTGCTCTTCTCTCTCTGCAGGAGCCCGGCCTGTAAGGAGCGAGGGAATCCAGGGGTGGAGGGCCGGGGACCGACTGACTTTAAACCTTCTGGGAGTGAGACGAGACGGCAAAAAGGCAAAGCATTAAAAAAACAAACATAAAGAACAAAATAAAAAGCTGCACCAAGTAAAGCTGTCTTTAAGGGTTGTTTATCAAAATAAAATTGAGTAYGGTAAATAAAAAAATAATAATTTCTTTACAATAACTTCTACAGTAAACAAGAAACACCTTATGTTGTCATCTGTGATTAAATGAGCTGAACAGAAAAGGAGCTTCTTTACCGGCGGTGGTTTTCTCACCAGGCTCAGGTTTTGGCTGCAGGTTGCTACAGGAAATGGCCATGTAAATTGTGTTTGCAGCAAACGACAGCATCTGTCCTGACAGCTCTCCTGTYGGGTGGAAAGACAGGATTAACAAACACAAGCAGTGGTGTATAAAGTACCTCAAAGTGATACTTGAGTAAAAGTACAAGTATGTTACCATAAAATTACTTTGGTAAAAGTTCAAGTCTCCTCTAAGAATATTATTTAAGTAAAAGTCTTAAAGTATCTAATATATTTTGTATTTAAGTATCAAAAGTAAAAGTATTGAGTAAAAATGAGTGGTTAGACTTCCCAAAATGACATTTATTGGGAGGTTGTGAGAACCCAAAAAAGCGTTTTTCTAAAGACCAAAATGGCTACATTTTCATATAAAAATGTTAATGTTTAAAAAGACAACAAATCATACACACTGTGCCTTTAAAAAAACTATGCTCCTGGAGAGAGTGAATTTAATTGTGGTTGGATGAGTGTGTGTGTGTATATATGTATATATATATATATATATGTGTATATATATATATATATATATATATATATATATATATATATACACATACATATATATATATATACATATATACACACACACACTCATCCAACCACAATTAAATTCACTCTCTCCAGGAGCATAGTTTTTTTAAAGGCACAGTGTGTATGATTTGTTGTTTTCAGCGACATCTAGTGGTTGAATCATCCTCCCTAAAAAGGAGTTTCTACGGTGTCTCTCAGGTGTCAAAAACCTTTGATAATTCCAACCGCGATGTCTACCAGCAGCTTCAGGGCTAGTGATGTTTCAAGTGGTAAGATTATGAGCTTTAATAAGTAAAATTATCCCAGCTACAATGACAGACAACAAATATTACATTTATAGTATTACAACTAAAACCGTTTTTGACGCCGCCACCGCAGTTTGTCCTTCATGAGCCTTCGTAGACAAGACGGCGGTGCAAGATGGCGGCTGCCTGTAGTGGCGACCCGCGACCGTGGAGATATAAACAGCTTTTTATAAGGTAAAAATAACAAAACAAAGTCTTTGTCTGCAAAGATTAGACATGTTTTTTATTATTGTCATTAGTGATTATCTCAATTTCGGCTAAAACACGACAAAATCTTACACACTGTGCCTTTAACAACAAGCTGTAATAAAATAGGAGTAACGACTTTTTACTTCTTACCTTTTTAAAAAATGTAATAAGTAGAAAGTACAGATAACTGTGTAAAAAAATGTAAGAAGTGGAAGTAAAAAGTAGGCTGAAAAATAATTACTCAMGTAAAGAACAGATACCCAAAAATTCTACTTAAGAACAGTAAAGAAGTATTTGTACTTAGTTACTTTACAACTCTGAACACAAGCTGAGGAAACAGAAACACAAAATGCTCAATATTTTATTCACATAAACTATAGATAGGGATGTGTTACAGTCCTAACAGAGAACAGCTGTTCCAACTTTAATCTGAAAACAGAGGCGTGAATGTAACCTGATCTGTGTTGGGACTTCATGAATGAAGACGACTGATTCTGATGGGGTTATTTTGAGAAAAGAAYGTGTCCCACTGTTGCACATCATCTGGATTAAATTCTTTCCAACAGACATTCAGCAAATTTATTTATAAACTCATTTGATCCGTTTGACTTTTAAAGAGCGCCAATGTTCATTCATCCATTTAAAGGTAATCAAGATGGTTCTTACTACTGTTAGCTGTGTTTGGGAGGCCTGAAGAAGAAGAAAGGATAACATTAAAGTCAGGAGCAGCAGATCGCTCCCATCTGTGCCAGAGTTACACTCCAGGGCTCAGGACTAACTCTTTGCTGCACCGGAGCGCCTAACATTTTTCCTTACGTCCACCAGCACAAAAGTTAGGTGCACCCAAATTTGCAAATGTGTCACATTTAACATTGATGTTTTAATGGTTCACTTTTTTAAAATCATTCTTTATTAAGGCAATATTAACTCACAAATAATTTGTTAACAAACCAGCAAAAATAAAGTTCTATATTTGAACCAGAATCGTAGACATATAACTTACTGAAAAGTATTTAAAGTGATTCTATGACCTGAAATTTTAACTTAAACATTTCAAGATAAATGAAATGAAAGAAATTCTAAATTCTAGGTGAAAATGTTTAAGGGTTGAACATTTTATAAACATCTTAAACATTTCATGGTTAAATGTCTTTTAGACACCTGCCCCTCATATAAACTCCTGTAGTTTGGCCTTCAGGATCTTTGGCCTTGGCTAAACCAGAATGATGAACAGAGAATTATGATTAACAGCAGAAATATTACTAGTATTTATTAAATGAGAAAAAGCTTTTTTAAATAATGAAAATAACGTAACGTGAAAAAATCTGCAACTCAATTTGTATGATGTGAATTTTACGAATCTCTCACTGAAAAAAACTAAGCTGTGTCGTCATAAAACCATTTTCAGAACCTGGAACATAACTGCGGTGTAGCCGATTATATGTAAAAGAGGCCTGCTATACAGGTGAGCTTCCTCATGCTGCTGGAGTGATCTGCTGCTGCTGCGCTCCCAGAGCAGAATCAGACTGCAAGATGGACTTTACTACTGAGACTTAAGAGCAAGCAACATTTAATTTCCACAGTTAACAAAAAAAAAAAAAAAGAAAAAGTTTCTGACTCTGGTTTAAAAAATAAAATAAAATAAAAATAATGTTGAGGTCATCTTTAAAGTGGTTGGATCGAAAAGGTAATGAGCTCTAGAGGCTCATCCAATGATTGCTTTCTAAAAATTACATTAAAATCCAAGCTGTCGTTCATGAGATATTTTGCTAACACGCATGCACACAGACATGGGTGCGTTATCATCCGTCTTCACTTTTCAGCAGTGGATCAAACCGACAGTTTAAAGATCAGAGATTAACACTTTTTTTTTTAAATCGGCATGTGAGAACACGTCAAGTGACAGGAACTTTACTGATCCCAAACAGGAAGTTCATTTCCTCTGTTAATAATTCACCATCATAAGCAAACTTTCAGTACATTCCTGTAGCAGATACATAAATCTATAAATAGTTGTTCAATAATTACTTTTATTTGATAATTTATGAAACATTTTTACCCACAAGAGGGTGCTGTAGCACCTTTAGCACCCACAGCTCGCTCTGTACTCTGTTTTAAGTGGCACTTTTGGTCCTTTTCACTGTATTTATTGACGTCCATCAGACAGGGGGGAAAAGTAAACTCTGGTAAACGTCAGGATGTTTGTCTGCAGCTTTACCTGTGCCAGGGACGGGTGGTTTCTCCTGGGAGCCCACAATGAGGAGTATCACCACAACCATGAATATGGGCACTCTCCACGAGCCGGTCAGAGACACTGAAACCAGAGCCAGAAACTTTAACTGGTTAACTGGTTTAGACTGTGCCCAACAGAACTGCAGATGTTTGAAGCAGCTAAACCATTTCCTCCAAGTATTTTTTGTTATAAAACTAGAGTTTGAATCATAAAAAAAGACACTTTTTACACCAAAAGCTGAACTTCCTCTTGAAAGCCTGCACTCATGTTTAATAGGGCTGTGTATTGGCAAGAATTTGGCGATACGATACATATCATAACAGAGGGGTCACGATACGATATATCCCGATATATTGCGATACTGTAAGCAAGGCAATATATTGCGATATATTGCAATTTTTTTGTCCAAAAATTTTATCAAATAAAAACCTCTTACTGAAAAAAAAAGCTAATGTTTACTTACAATGCTTACGTTGTCTCCTACAATGCTAATGCTACCCTTACTCTCTGGCACTCAAGAGGTAGAGGAGCCAAATGGCTGGCTCACTGCTGCCAACTAACGGTCAGAGGCTGAACTACAACATAAAAATGAACGTTTGGCAAGAAGGTTGACATTTTAAACCTTAATTAAAAATCAATACAGTGCTTTAGAATATCGATACAGTTTCGGGAAATGAAATATCGTGATATTTCAGTGTATCGATATTTTCTTACACCCCTAATGTTTAACATTTCACACATTAAGATCTGCTTGTCAACAGTGTGCTAAAAATACAGCAGACTTTCTCATCTATGTTCCAGCTATGCTGTCCAGAAAACATGCTGGAACAAAACCTGCTCTCCAACACCAACTGGTTCTCTGCAAACTCCGTTTCGTGTAAAAGTATGAAAAAATGTGTCCTAACAGGTCCTCTAGACTTTTGCACTCACCGAGATAGAAGAGCAGCGCCGCCCAGACAGGAAGAGCTAAAGCCCTCAGGTAGCGCTCGGTGCGAGGACTCCACTTCAGACAAACCGCCAGCAAGTAGCCCACCACCACGCTGGACACCTGAGGACCAATAAAAACACCAGAAGCAGCATGTTGAGAAAATATAAGACATTTTGTGCAAGAGATTTAAACTGTAGATAATTTGAGTTGGTAAAANTTCAGTGTATCGATATTTTCTTACACCCCTAATGTTTAACATTTCACACATTAAGATCTGCTTGTCAACAGTGTGCTAAAAATACAGCAGACTTTCTCATCTATGTTCCAGCTATGCTGTCCAGAAAACATGCTGGAACAAAACCTGCTCTCCAACACCAACTGGTTCTCTGCAAACTCCGTTTCGTGTAAAAGTATGAAAAAATGTGTCCTAACAGGTCCTCTAGACTTTTGCACTCACCGAGATAGAAGAGCAGCGCCGCCCAGACAGGAAGAGCTAAAGCCCTCAGGTAGCGCTCGGTGCGAGGACTCCACTTCAGACAAACCGCCAGCAAGTAGCCCACCACCACGCTGGACACCTGAGGACCAATAAAAACACCAGAAGCAGCATGTTGAGAAAATATAAGACATTTTGTGCAAGAGATTTAAACTGTAGATAATTTGAGTTGGTAAAAYGGGTTCTCAAGCCATTTGGGTCTGGGGACCCCTTACAAGGGTGAAAAAATTTCCAGGGACCTCCTCATAAACCCCATGCTGTTTTAAAATATAATTTGATGTCATTTCAACCCCTAAATGCCATGAGAATATATATCTTTATTAAGTTCATTATGTTTGTTTTAGGGATGCAAACAATTAATCGAATTACGATTAATTGTCAAATAATGGTTTATTAGATTAAACTTTCTTCCATTCGATTAATTGAAAACATCCGTTTAGTTTTGAGCTGCTGCTCTCAGCCTGGCCTACTCTACCCCACCGGCCCTACGTTGAACGGAGCAGAGAGCCGGCTGCCTCCATGTGGGCGGCATCATAAATAAAACGCGCAAATCTTTAGTTTTATTTGTGACACAACAACAACTAGAAGCAATCAGAGAGTGCAAACCTCCACCAAGACCAATTTCCCCCATCCTGTAAGAGTTAATGCACAAAAGCAGAGATGGAAACACATTTGCTGAATAAGTTGTGACGTAGTGAACATTTAAGCAGCAGTATGCACGGGATTTCTTCTCGGTGGAGTCCAATGTGAAAAAAATGAAGTCAGACTCGTCACCCGACATTTTTGTTGAAAGCTTTCGCATCGGTGCTACGTGATTCAAAAAAGCAGAGTTTTCATCGCGCATGTAATCACAGACACACACGCGTCTTCCTATCTTTGTGAGGACCACATACAGCGGTCACAACCACGATCTGCGCATTCTTTTTTCCCCAAAGTTTGGCGAGAGGTGGATAGAGGGGCGCACAAAGAGCTCTTGACTTGATCTGGCCTCATTTAAATAATAAGAAAAATGAACAAACAAACAAACAAACAAACAAACAAACAAACAACCTCCAAGTCTGAAGTCCACCGTGTCACTCCTCTTCCTCAATCTTCATCGATCTGTGTATAAGCCTACCGAYAATGYKGTGTGTTTGAGGAAATGGGAAAAATAGGTTTGATGGTGCAGTCACGCACTTCGTGGTCACAAAACGTTCTCTAAATGTGCACCAAATGTGTAAAAATGTGCACATTATGGCAAAAATTATTCATCATTACATCTGGTTTTAACATTACTTTTATAAAGTTTGAAGTCCAAACACTGAAAGCTGTCATAGTTTTTTTTTACAGAAGCCCTGTGAAAGCATCACAGCTTTGCCGAACTGAGAGGATTAAAAGAAAAAAAAATTCCTGTATCCGCATTGTGATCCGGAACATCACCAAAAAGTAACGGTGCGTTACTTGTGCCAGTAACCACATGTGGTGTAAATGTCATGACAATCCATCCACAAGTTTTTGAGTAATGTTGTCCAAAGACAGAACGACGGGCCGACAGACAGACGGACAGACAGACAGACAGACAGACATACGCGACCAAAAACATTACCTCGCCGTTGTGGCGGAGGTAATATAGAAGAAAAAGTACCGAAGGCTGTACCGGACCATCCAGCATTATGACGGTAAAGACGAGAGAGCAGGACGACAGAGAGAATGGTAAGCTAACATTAGCTTTTTCTAGTTTAACTCCGTGTGAAAGAACAAAACAGAAAAAGTTAGTCACTACAAATAATTAACGTATATTAATCTCATCTGTGTGACGTAACCCGGCCAGTGAACAAATCAAAGGACCAGTAACTGACGTCAGATCAGTCCAGCCCAGATAGRACCACAGGGAAGGTAAACAAACACAGCTCCAGTACTCATTTGTATGTTTACCCCTTTCAGGTCATGTTTATACTTTGTTTTTGAGTCAATATTTAGAATAAAACGATACCCTGTGTTTAAATGATAGTTTTACATTTCTCTGTTCAGGGTGGATTCGGTGTTTTACATTTTTTCTTTACTTTTTCCCCCCCCAACTAGCAACCTAATAGATTCCTGTTTTGTTATATTTTATAAATATGTCCAAGTGAAATAATGTGTGAGAAATCCACCATTTTCTGTTTATTCAGTCAGTGTTTAATACAGCTGGCACAAACATTTTTATAAAATATAACACTGTACTTTTTTTTTAATTTAGTGTGTAAAACATTAGTCCTTCAAGTCATAGAAAGACCAGATTGAAGAGAAATGTCAGGTTTTTAGTTTGTCTGTTGTCCACATTACAGAAGATGCTTATGAAAATGTATATTTCAAACACATTTAAGAGCTAAAATGAAACCGTATTTTCTGTTTGTTTAAATATCTGCTGCTGTTTAGCTGTGAATCTCTGATCAAAAGGTCACAAAGATCTCAGCTGCTGGTTTCCACATAAAAACATATTTCAGAGTAATTCAATCTGCGGCTCTCCTTCCTATTTTTAACAAGACATGCAGAGATCCAGCCTTAAGACAGAGCATGTGCTGTGTGAACAGCAACAYTTCATGTGACGTGGACTGGGTCAGAGCAAAACAGCTGTTTAGRCTTAATAAAGATATTAATGAATTAAAGGAAACCCTGAAAATGGTGAGAAATGATATTTAACTGACAAGAAAGTCCAGTCATATTCTAGATACATACAAGATGATGTCATTCTGTTTGTAGTTCATATTGACTTGCAGGTCTTTGGATCAATCAGTTTATCATCTATTGTTATCACCTACTGCTGTGTGTGTGTGTGTGTGTGTTCGTTTGTCAGTCTGTTAGCAAAATATCTCATGAAGACTGAAACTCCCAGAAAGCATACACTGGATGTACATCCAAAATCAAGATGATTTAGATAAATAACTTTAATTTATTTAATTTTATAAACATTGAGCTAAATTTTGTTTTGCTGGTAGCTGAGACTAATTCATAACACACACAGTGTGTTTGCCTGAGCTTGCCATTGATTATGGGCGTCTACTGTTCTGTTAGCAAAATATCTGATGAACCACAGGACAGCTGGTAATGAAATAATCYGTAGATGTGCGGTTAGCCTACCTACCTAACCCTAACCTACAACTGGTTAACTTTTGATTTCAATCCAGTTTAAAATGGTCGCCACAACTAATGGATCTTAGCCTATACTCTAATAACTTAACATAAATTGATCTAAAATCTCATTTGGTAATAGATGAGCCCTTTGGGATCAATAAAGTATCATTCATTCACAATGTATGCCTGGACTACATGACAAATCATGTTTTTTAAAGGAAATGAATGGTTAACATTTTTGCTCAGGAAAATATGAACTTTGTGAAAGGTTTCGAACCGTCTGCCCTCCAGAGCTTTATAGTAACTAAGTACATTTACTTTGTTACAGTACTTAAGTAAATTTTTTGATGATTTGTAATTTTACCAAGTATTTTTTTAAATCGTGGCTTTACTTAGTTACTTTTAAAACCTAAAAACGATACTTTTACTTCTTTACTTTATAGTTTAACACCTTGTTACTTGTTGATGAATGATTTGTTTATGTGCTCTAAAATAAATAAGTGTTGAATTTACACAACTAAATCATAACTATTTCCACTAAACCTTGTAGAGTAAATTTGAGGCGATAGACATATTTTATTTTTAAAAAATGGACCAATTTAATCAACTTGGTTTTGTGAAGCCAGTTTGGTTTTGTAAATTTAACAAAACCAAAAACTCTCTATTTGTTAGAGAGCCTGGAAAAGTATTTTTACTTCTATTACTTGAGCAGTTTTCTTTAGTGACATTTATTTTAACCAAAGTCATTTTCTGTTGAGGTATTTTTACTTGGTTGTTGTTTTTTTTTTTTTCCCTGCACTTCATAGACCCCACACGGTTCCCTCACTCACCCACACGACGTGGAAACAGTCCAGCACCAGTCCGATGACCCAGCAGACGTGCCCGAGGACCACCTGGACACCGATGACGCTCCAGAACAGGTASAGGAAGTAACCGAGCGGCGCCCCGGCTCCGATCACCAGGAGCACCGTGAGCCTCTCCAGCACCAGCCTGCCCATGGCCTCCACCCCGTAGTTGACGCACCACACCGGGACCAGCAGCGTCCCCACGACGATGGGCGTGCCGGTGTCCTGCAGGCCGCTGAGCCACGAGCGGCCGAGCCGGGCCAGGGAGTACTTGAACGGGTGTAGGAAGGTCCCGCAGAGCACGGCCCAGAGGAGCGGCCGGAGGAAGGCCTCCAGGATGAAGTAGACCAGGACCGCCGCCCCGCAGCAGATGGCCACGAAGATCATCGCCCCCGTGTTGTAGAAGGCCTGCTTGATGTTTTTGTCGAACTTCAGGGACGACGGCTGGCTCAGCAGCTGGCTCACCATCCCGACGGCCGGCTGAACGCTCTCGCTGAAGGAAACGAAGTGAGGCCGCTCAGGGTGGGGGGCCTCCGGCGTGGAGACAGCAGCCGGCTCGTGCCCCGARTCCTCCTCATCTGCCATATTGGCCGCTCCACCTCCAACTGGTCCACCCGCGTGAGGAAGAAAACATGTGACGTCATCATTAGRCAAGTGCCCGAGGGCATTAGGGGCAATGTAGTACCCAAAGCTTCCTCATGTTTTAAAATAACAATATTGATATTAAAATGAACAACAATATTATTAATTGTGACTTCCGGTTTCATTACTATAAAATCATATATACTGTATAATTTTTTTTCATATTAACGAGATACTTTTGAGGTCATATCTTTTGACTGTGTAGCCCAGGGGTGCCCAAACATTTTCTCTGAGAGGGCCAAAATTATGATCAATCTGAGAACCATCGGCCAAAAGCAATAATGCAAATACATCTTAAGTAAAGTTTTTTTTTTTTATGATTAAGCTAGTAGCCAGTGTGGTGGCCGACATTATATTTCTTTTTTTTTTTTCAGCCCATGCACATGGAGAAAATTATTTTCAGGCAGCAAAGGCTCATGGGACTTTTCATAATTTAAAATTTGATTATATGGGGTCTTATAAGTTGTGCAACTCTATTATGGGCTTAAATCTAATCTAAATGCAGGGGTGGGATGTAACTAAGTACAAGTACTTTCTTGCTGTACTTAAGTACGTAATGAAATTTTCACCAGATGTTGGTAACAACCCAAGTGATCCATACATACAAAGAAATCAAACCATAAATGTCCAGAAATGAAGTTATTTGTAATAATGTGGAATGGCACAGGGAAAAAGTATTGAACACACTTGCTGAAATTTATCTAATATATATAATAAATGTTATTAAAATTAAATTATGTAAATAACATATTGCCATACGACTGTTTTTATTTCATTCCTTTACATAAAGGACATACCGTTTAAAATTAATTGAGTAACAATTGCTCATTAAAATCCCGCCTTTTAATTGTGGAGGTTTTACTAAATGCTGAAAGTAAAAGTAAAAGCTGCCTTACAGTGGTGAACAATGTACTCAAGTACTTGAGTAAAAGTACTGATACTCATGGTCAAATTTTAACTACAAGTAAAAGTTGCTCAGTCAAAAATCTAAAGTTAAAGTACTGAAGTACTAATACTCAGTCGTATATCAGGCTGTTTTATGCAAAAATGACAAAAAAATCCATGCATTTGTTATGTTTACCTGCTTCTTCCTCTCAGGGTTTGGGGGGGGGAGGGGTCCACTGGTGCCCATATCCAGCAGACAGTGCGTGAAAGGTGGGGTACACCCTGGACAGGTCCCAACTCCATCATAAGGAGACAAACAAGCATTCACACCGGGAGACAGTTTAGACTTCCCAATTAGCCTAATGCCACCCAGAAAGGCAGGGATTCGATCCGGCAACCTTTTCACCRAGAGGCAACAGCTCCATTAACTCTGCCACGCACAGAAATAAAACAAGGATTTGACATAAATTGTTTTAATGTTATTTYCTTTTGACATGGTAACATAAGATGGATTCATCTTCTTTTAAAATACATGAACATTTTTTATAGATTAGGTTTCCTTTTTCAAATTCCTGTGAAATTTAGACAATGCATCTCAAGTTTTCGTACTACACAACCTTTTCAGACTGGGTTTCATTGTGTCAGTATGCAATTCTAATGATGGCTTCTCCTGTAGACGACAACTTAGCCTCATCCCACCACTCCACCGCCTCCGTGCTTCACCCTAAGGATTGTTTTTGTGCTATTTAGCACAATCTAATCGACCTGCTGTCTGCAGCTGAGCAGGCGATGTGAAAACATTCCTGTCGTCAATAAAGATACAACTCACCACAGTGGCTCTATACAGTTTGAGTGACAGACCATCTATCCAATCAGACAGGATGCATTTTGCATATCACTGTTTTGTTACAATAACAAAATGTTTTTGACGTTTTTAACATTTGGACGTGTTTTGAATACAGAATGTGCTACAGGAACAACTGAGGGTAGAAACAGTCCATGCCCTTGTTAAGTGTTTTTCATCCCACAGTTTGCTCCTGTTCAGTGGCTTATTGCTCATGCAGGCAATGGTCGCTCGTGTGTCTGTCGTTTGCCTGTTTGTTGAATGCAGTCACAGTGGCACAGCGCTGATGGACAAGTAGTCACTGTGGGTGAGGAAGATGTAATGGCTGAGATCCACAAAAAATAAATAAAAAAGCAGGGATTGCATTTGGGCTCTTTCTTTATGTCCTCAGAAAACCCACATCTTTTCATCAAGCTCTGCAGCCAGGGAACAGCAGGAGTCGGAAATTACTCTTAGATTTTCTGCTTCATGCTGGAGGGACCGATAAAATGTCCTCACTGTTATATGCAAATCTTKTATTTWTAAGTAAATGGATCCTTTTATAAARGCTGAAAAAAAAAGTTGGCTTGTTTCAAACTAACRTGACTTYTTWTTGTATTTGTTCATTTATCAGTAAAGATGAGACATACACGTATTCTCTCATTTTTAACACRCCTAACACAGTCCACAGTTTTTATTGCTGCTTCTTTTCTCATCTTGTGATTGGCTGGGCTTCATTACGGCGTTCCCATCAGCAGGTAGAAAGTGAGAGCCACGATGAGCAGTAAGCAGAGAGGAGAGTTGAAGGTCTGATACGCCGTAGAAGGCATGAAGATGTCTTCGTATTTATAAATGCTGATCATGTGGTCGCTGACCGGAGGGTTGTCGATGTCGTGCCTCGTGATGGAACCTGCCGGCGAAGATGGAACGCCACAGAAAAAAGGATAATTAAGAAGAAGGCTTTGACACTGTTGATTATAACATCCTTATTGAAAAGTTGAATAAATATGGCATTAGAAGATTAGCACTACAGAGGGTATCTAGTTGGAAAAAAGGCAAATAATATAAGATTTGAATTTTGTAATGTTAGTTGTGGAGTTCCACAGGGTTCTGCGCTCGGACCAAAACTGTTTAGTTTGTACATAAATGATTTGGTTGATGTGTCAAAGCTTTKAAAATGTATTTTTGTTTGCTGATGACACCACAGTTTTCTATTCTGGTGAAAATATTGGAGATCATGCAAACAGAAGTCAGCAAAATCAGTTATTGAATTTGGACATGTTCGTATTCTTATCCTAAATTTCTCTTACTTTTGTTCGTACGAAGGGTTCGTACAAACATGCTACATC